GCCTTGTCTTGAACAGTCACATTCATAGGCCCTTCTCATCTGGGCTCACCTCTCTGAACTTGACCTTTGTTTCTTCTTGCCAGTGGTGCATCCAGCGCTATTTCCTAGCATGACTCTAGGCCCTCCTGCTCGTCCCTGTCCTGCTGTTGCCTGCTCCCAATATGACAAGTGTGATTATCAAAAGGCCTATTTTCCAGACATTTTATAAGACAACCTGCAATTTCCTATCTTTCAGTAGGATAAAGCCTGTTGGTTCAGGAGCTAACAGAAAAATGTGAATCGTTCAGATGGACACCCTTAATCTTCCCTGGCCCTGCTAGAATCTGACATCATTAAGAAGAAAAGTAAATAATCCTGGAGGTGACATGAAAATAAAATTTCAATTAAATGTGAAAAATGAATGTTTTGCATGTAACCAGTCTTTTTCTCTTTATGTAAGTTTCTTATTGCTACTGTAACAAATTCCACAAGTGTAATAGCTTATAACAAAACAAATTTATTTATTTATAGTTGTGGAGATAAGTCAGAAGTGGATTTCACTGGGCTAACATGGGGGTGTTGGCAGGCTTTTGGCAGGCTGCATTCTTATTAGAGCATCTAGTGGAGAATCCATTCCCTTACCTTCCCCTGTATCTAGAGGCTGCCTGCATTCCTTGGCTCCTGGCCCCTTCCTCCATCTTCAAGCCAGTGATGGCATCACTCTGACCTCTCCTGTCCCACAGCTTCTTCTCTGCCTCTGGTTCTCCTGCCGCCCTCTTTCGAATATAGGGACTCTTTTGATGACATTGGGCTCAGATGGCTAATCCAAAATGACATCCCCATCTCAGGCTCCTTGACCTATTCACATCTTCACAGTCCCTTTTGTCATACAAGGTCACATATTCCCAGGTTCTGGGGACTAGGATATTGGCATCTTTGGGGGGCTGTCAGCCTGTCTACCACACTTTTTATGGCTAATTTCACAGCTCTGCTAACACTAGAGCTCTGCAAACAGTAGAATACAGCTTCATGTGCTGTTTTGCATGCCTTCTCGTTTATTCCTCACAATAACTTTATATAGTGGGCACCATTTTCAAATCTTTTGTGTAGATGAGGAAACTGAAGCTCAGAGAAATGAAATCACCCACCGAAGGTCGCACAAACTAAGCATTTGCCGTGATTAGTTTTATCAGCAGTCCCTATCCTGTCTTTCTCTAGCTCCATCCCTGTTTTCTTACAGGCATCTAGGTAACAGGAATCTCCTGGGAGCTCACCTGTGACCATTGGTGGGCCAGTCACATCCAGGAGAGGTCACCTTGGATTTGGAAACAATTGCATATGAGGAGTTTTATACCAGATGGGCTTGTATTTTTGTACATTATTTTCTTCTGCTGGATTTCTATATATTTCTTTATTCTTAATATTTTTATAAACAATTATTTTTGTTTTTGTAAATTTTATCAAATAGATGGTGGGCCATTCAGTCTGAAAAGTCAGGTCTTAGTTTAGTCCAGGAAAGTGACCTTCTGTGTCTTGGGATAGGATTTTATTCCATTCATTTCACTCTCTTCTGTGGACGCTCCAGTTACTTACAGGGTAGTTAGTTGTCTGTTGTTCATTTTCTTGATCAGTTTTCCTCTCACTGATTTCCTTTATCTTTGCTTTCTTTGCCATCTGGGTTATTTTTCCAGGCCTGTCCTCCAGGTCGCTGGTTTTCTGCAATGTTGATCCTGTTCTTAACTTCTAATGCCATGTTGAGATCTGCAAATGGCATTGTTTGTTTTCCTCAATTATTCCCTTGGCTCCCCGAGTTGTATCTTCTTTCTTAGTACCTGTCCTTGTCACCTCATCTCTTAGCTCATGTTCTGTGGAGACCATGTGTTGATATCATTCTCAGTCTCTCTTTTTTAATCTCCCGTATTTCTTGGCTGTTCAGAAAATGGACGTCCAAGGCAAAGCTCTGTGTTTCATGAGCTTGGGTTGGGCATGTGCATTTTGCTTATTTCTCTCCACCCCTTATGCAACATTACTACATCCCCTACCCTTTTTTATTGTTCTTAGCTAATAAATTGGTGGCAAATAGGTGGATCCTGGTGTCATACCTGCTGCTCATACTCTCCCACTCTGAGAAATGAAGGTGCTTGAAGAGGTGAGTGATGGGGCAGTGGTTAGTCCACACTGGAGTAACATGCATGGCATTGTAAAAGTAGGATCTGAAGCCAGATGCCAGCTCTCCAGCTTCCAAGCTGTGCAGCCTTGGGGAGGCAATTTCACTTCCCTGAGCTTCAGTTTCCTCTTATATATAAGAGCGATAAGAAGTGCACCTACCTTATTTTTCATGGGGGAATAAATGAGAAAGCATATAAAACACTTAGCACATAAATAGTGTTTAGCTGTTGTTAGCTTAATAAAGAAAAAACGAAAATGTTTATAATGTTGTAAATAACTCAGGTTAGAAAATATTGACCCAAAGCCTCACCACTCACTCATCCTTATCCACCATGGTGGCCCCGAAGTGCGTTGCTCAGCAGTGGGGAAGATGGGCTCCTTTTGATGACCCCCCCTTCTTCCAAGGCCCTTCTTTTCATTTAGTGACCTCTTTTCCAAATCAGGATACATTCCTGGTGTTTGCCAGAATTTTTACTCCTTCCTCCCTGCACTACTTTGGGAGGGGACATTACATGTGGTGTCTCATACGTTCTCATAGTGGGGTCCAAGTTGTGCCAGCTCCTGCGAAGATGCCTCAAGGCATGAGGTAGCTGGTTGGCAGTTTCAGCCCTGGTGACTTTTCTCCCCTTCCATTACCTTGTACTGGTTTTTATTCGGGCAGGCAAATAGAAACTTTCCAGTTCAGAGAAGTGAAATTGCCTGCTCAAGTCTGCACAGCTTGGAAGCTGCAGAGCTGGCAGTTGGCTTCAGATTCTCCTCTTACAGCCCCATGCTTGTTGCTCTGATGTGTACTAACTATTCCAAATGTCGGTTAGTTTCTGGCATGGGAGGCAGTTATGGTTACCTCTCATTTTGCCATGGCTTTTGAACAATATCATTCATTTTTTAATGTACAAGTGTAAAGGAAATACATGTTTGAGACAAAGTCTGAAGAATGTCGAAAAGTAAAAAGCAGCAGCAAAATATTACCTACAATTTCCCTGTCTAATCTGTAGCAAGTCTCTTCTAGCTGCCCTTTGATGGGGGCCTGGGTTACCCTGGGTTTCTGGCCTTCATGATCACTGCCTCCCCCTGGTATTGGTCTCCCCTCATTTGCTGCCATAGAGCTGAGCAGCGTGGCTCTACCTGCACCTGTGCCCTCCTCCTGACAGGTCACTGTAGAGGGTGAGGGAAGATGACATAGATGAAAGTAGGATGTGCACATGGGGAAACTGTTTACTTTGTGCAGGAAACTATGAAGATCGCATCTTGGGAGACTGGGAGACTCAGGGCATGAGAATCATGAGTCATAAGGTTTCCCTAAGTCCAGATAATTAAAGTAGTCAATTTCACTTTTTGGGGAAAAACATTTTTAAATTAAAGCAGGTGCTGAGAATACGGTCTTAGTAAAAAGAGTGCTTGACTTGAAGTTGGAAAACCTGGATAAGGGGCTCATGTACTCTACGCATTTAGCTAAACTGTTGGACGTTGGGATTTTTCTTCTGAGAAGAACAGCAGTTGCACAAACCCCAAACAAGGCTGTGAAGATACAATGAAGATTTATACAAAAATACCCAGCCCAGGGGCTGGCACATACTAGAAAAACATCCAGTTAATAACGTTAATAAACATCCACTCAAACTGCATTGACATGCATGTGCGTTACCAGTTCTCGTAACTTGCAGCTGTGAAAGAGGTTTGTTCAAACTCAGGATATCCCTCCTGAAACTCAGGATGCTGAAGACAAAAGCTCATGTGTGTTCACCTTGATTCTGGAAATGTCTACCAACTTGGGAGGCTTTCAGACAAGCTTCTAAAGATGAGCAGAGGAAAGTCCTTCAGTGTAAAATGAGCAACACTTGTAAGCAAACGTGTGGGGAAAGTTTGTATCATACCTAAGGGCAGGATAAGCTTCTAGAGATGGTGTGACAGTTGTGAGAACTGACTAGCGATGGCTGTGAGCTGAACGTGGGCTTTTATGGAACGGAGTGTCCTCAGGGAGACTGGACCCTCCAGGCAGAGGAAAGAGCAGGTGCCGAGGAAGACGGGTGTTGGAAAGCTACCGTCCCCTCCCTACCTGTGGTGATAGCCTAGGGCAGGTGGGGCTCAGAGCCTGCGGGGTGGGGTAGCAGAGCACCAGCCATAGGGCCTGGGAGCCGGGCTCTTTTTCTTCCATGTGGGCTGGGTTTTCACTAAGTCTGCTGAAGTTTGTCTGAGAGAATGCTATGGGTTCTGCTTCAGGGAAAAAGGAAAAGAGGAAGGAAAGTGAAGGGGCTGCATGCCAGTCCCCAGTGCAGGCTGAGCCAGGGTGTTTAGAAGGAGCCTTTTTCCTCTGTTCTTACCACCAGGCCTCTGTCCTCGAATCAGCTCACTAGCAAAGTTTATTATTGAATCAGACCATTAGCACAAACCAGCCATGAAAACTCCCACCTTTTTTTTTAAAAAAAAAAAAAAAAAAAAGAGGCAGGGCCTTGCTCTGTTACCCAGGTTGGAGTGTAGTGGCTTCATCATGGCTCACTGCAATCTTGGGTTTGTGGGCTCAGGAGATCCTCCCTCCTCACCCTCCAGAGTATCTGGGACTGAAGGTGAGTGCCACCATGCCTGGCTATCTTTTAAAATTCCTCGTAGAGTCAGGGTCTTGCTTGCTGCCCAGGCTGGTCTCACACCCTGGCCTCAAATGATCCTCTTGCCTCAGCCCTTGCAAAGCACTGGGATTACGGGCATGAGCCACTGTGCCTGGCTGGAAATCCCTTCTTATAGTTGACAGTCCTGAGCCCCTGGGGTGTGAGGATGGGTGGACATCCGTGCTGGGAGTCGCCTGGAAGTCTAAGATGCTATGATTCCTCCTCTCCCTCTCTTCCTCTGTTCTACAGCAATGGAATGGCAGGGACACGGCCCTGATGGTCACCCGCGTGGTCAACCACAGGCGCTTCTCAGCCACGGTCAGTGTGGCAGACACTGCCCAGCGGAGCGTCAGCAAGTACCGCTGTGTGATCCGCTCTGACGGTGGTTCTGGTGTGTCCAACTACGCGGAGCTGATTGTGAAAGGTGAGTGCCTCCAGCCTACGCCTCTACTGCCATGGAAGGCCGGCGCTAATGGGCCTTAAAGCCCCTTTTCTCATCTGCTGTTCCTCCCCCACATTCAGTAAAAGAGGAGATTAATTTGTAGTCACTCTGGCCTCCCTCCCCAACACAAACTCCCCAAACAGGAGAAATTATTGTAAAATCATGCAACATTGCATTGCTATTCCAAGTTGAGTTTCATATACAGGAGCCATACGTGAAAGACCGTGGAATATATAACACAGAAGGCATCTTCAAATTTGGCTTTATTTTGTATTTAAAGTTAGAATGAACAAATGTCCTTGTATTTGGGTGGCACGCTATGGCAGTGTTCTCGTACTATTGTTTCTGAGGAATTTTTTAAAAAATGAGAACTCAGTACAATGACAATATTTTGGAAGGACTTTTGAAATAAATAATTCCTCACCCCACTGGCCTTGATTCAATTCTTTTCAATTTTCTTGTTCTTATTCACCTTGAGATATTGTTTACATGCTTTCCTTTAAAATATGCACATTGTTTTCTGCTTCTCTCAAAAAGCTGGATATCCCATTTCTTTCTGAAACTTTGTCATCTTTGTTGTGATGCTTAATGATCGTATGCTATCTCATCAAATGAATTATCCTATTTTATTAAAACCCCCCATTTGCAGTCATTTGGATAATTCCAGGTGTTTTGTTTTTTCTTTCCTTTGTGTATGTAACAATTAGCACCTTCATGGAGTTCTTCTGGAGAGAACATTTTATTCTATTGAACCAGATTATTTCCTTAGGATAAATTCCCTGGGGGTAGAGTTGGGAGGCCAAGAATATGATTTATGGATTTTTCTTTGTGTTGCAATATTGCTTTTGCAAAAAAATGGTTTGACAGTTTACACTGGCAACAGCAGCATGTGGATGTACTCGTTTTACCAATGTTATGTTCGCCAATTAAAATTTTAATATAGCATAATTTAGTGAATGAAATAATGAAGCTGTTCTTATTATGCTAGCTGTAGAATGAGACCTGGTGTGTTTGAAGGGAAAAAACAAAAAGCAAACATAAAAAACCCACTGATCGAGCCTTTGAGGGCTCCTGAATTAGTTTCCTTCGTCAAAGTATGGGTGGGTGTGGAAACTTTGACCTCATTTTGCTGATCCAGTGTGACTGGTGGCCTTGGGCTGACCAGACTGGGGGTTGCAGACCAGGATTCTCTATCCTGGCTGTCTTGACTTTATACAGGCATTCACATGGCTGATCATGTGCCATCATTCAGGTCTCAGCTGAAATGTCATTATGTCGTCTTCTCCCAGGGAACTTCCCTGACCGCCTGCCCATGCCTCCCTTCCTGGTGGTCACAATTCCTTCTCATTGTGTGGTCTCCTTTTCGACATCGTTCTTTTCACACTTTAAAATGCTGGTTTGCCTTTATTTGTTTACTTGGTGACTTTTTGTTCCGCTTTTAGGATCTAAGCTCTATGAGAGGAGGGCTGTCTGCTGGGTTGGAAGTCCCTGCACTCAGCACAGTGCCTGGCCCTGGTTCTCAGTTTGCTGAAGCATATGAAGTTCTGTTTTGACTTGCACAGTCAGTCATTTCATAAGGCTCAACTTGAAAAAAAATTGTAGAATGATAGATGAGTGAATGAATTATTGACCTCAGCAGGAGTTGATTTCCTCACCATAATGCCATGAACACTTAAGCCAAAGATCAACAAATTAGGCAATCATGAAAAAACAACTAAAAAAATCTTTACATTTGTTTACATTAAATGTTATTAACATAGAAAAGAAGCCACCACTTTGATGGCATTAGGCTCCTATCTTTGCTTTGTTGGTGCCATAAGATTAGCTCGTGTGACCCGGTATGGCGGCTCATGCCTGTCATCCCAACACTTTGGGAGGCCGAAGCGGACAGATCACCTGAGGCCAGGAGTTCGAGACCAGCCTGGCCAACATGGTGAAACCCCGTATCTACTAAAAATATTAAAAAATAGCCAGGCGTTGTGGCGGGTGCCTGTAGTCTCAGCTACTTGGGAGGCTGAGGCAGGAGAATTGCTTAAACCCAGGGGACAGAGGTTGCAGTGAGCTGAGATCATGCCACTGCACTCCAGCCTGGGCGACAGAATAAAACTCTGTCTCAAAAAAAAGATTTATTATTATTATATATGTATTATGTGACACAGGGGTTATTGCAGGCCTTTCAGGTACTCAGTGAATGTGTAGTTTCAGCTCTCCTGCTGGAATATGTCTTATACCTTCTATGGCTGGTCTCCCATACCAGAATGAGAGTCCCAGGAGAGAGTGCACTGCATTCGCTCCTGCTCCTCACGGTCTTGCTAGCACCTTGCATGTACATGGGGCAAAGTTGGTGGCAAGAGAATGTGACCAGTGGCTATGGGAGTTAGTGTAGCACTCTGAAATTTCCATGCACAGACAAATGGAACCAGAAAACGCTTTTTTATTCTTTCCTTATATGCCCCCATTCAAGGGCAGGATGAGGAGCTATGGGGAGAGAAACCAAGAGGCTACTGGAACAGAGGATGTGGTGGAACATCCTTGCTTTATTCAGAGAGGTGGCCAGGGCTTTACAGGGACACTGATTTTTTCTCTGCTGGCTGTGCATCCTGGACCGGAGTCGAGAGGAGGGGCCAGTGCTAGCCCGGGGCAGTAGCCAGGCCTGGCAATATGTCTGTGCAGCTGCCACTGCTCACCTGCAGCCCCTGCCACTCCAGCTTAGGGAGTGTGGGGTGGTGGGTGGCACCCGGTCTCCTTCACATTGAACAGTGGGGGGTTGGCACTCCCTGTAATCTGGTCAATCAAGGTGTAATTTTATTACACATTGATGAAATTCATCCATATTTTTGGCATGGGTTATCACTTTTTAGTGCCCATTTTTCCTCCATGTAAGTATTATAATGGTGGTAAGCTAGGAGCTTGGTCCCTTGCATGTAAAGAAGTCCCTTCACATGTGTGACCTGATTTTTATTTTAACTCATTTCAGGGGTGGGAGAATTAGCACAGCCAGGCTGAGAAACAGGGCCATCCCAAGGGGTAGAGCTGGAGTCGGACCTGCATCTGACTCAGGCTATATGGCCACACCTGGAGTGCTGGTGGGTTGTGGCCTTGCTGGCACCTGGTGCCACAACATCATGAGCAGTGCTGAAGGGGCTCAGGTACCAGGCAAGCAGGAGTCCCTGGGTCCATCTAGCTAACTTGCCATTTTGACACATGACGTTCCCTTCCTGACCCTCAGCTAACTTCCAGATTGCTGGAGAAATACATTTAACCTACACTCACCCCCTCCCCCGACCCCACACACACTGCTAAAGAGTTAGTGACATCCAAGCAAAACAAGAAAATAAAAGGCAGGGACCCCCTCAGGAGCAGAAGCAACCAGAGGAAACCTGTAACCCTGGAGTGGGTGCCCAGGGATCCATTTGAAGGCGGCAAACCTGAGCGTTTGGAAGAAACCGTGTGATGAAGAATGACTCACTTACCTCTCAAGAGCCCTTTGCCTTTGCAGAGCCAGGATGCTTAAGTACTTTAATACTGAAGTATTTGTACTTATTTTAAAAAATATGAGGGAAAAGCATTAATCCTCCCGCTTTCAGAGAAGGGAGAAAATCTGAAAAACAGACCAAAAAAGGAAAAGGATTCTCAAGGGCCAAGTACTGTGTTATGCGATGGGATCTGGATTCCTTCTTCTTGGACTGACGTCACCCATGACCCTGGGATATCACAGAAAGAAAACCACGTCTTCGAGGTCTTCCTCCTCACAGGTTCCCACCCTTTGGTTCCAGTTCAGGGCAGGAGATAACTCTTGCAGCCAGGATGCTTGCGTCTGAATTCTGGCCCCACCTTGTCCCAACTCTGTGACCTTGAACGTGATGAAACCTTTCGGGGCCTCAGCTGGCTCATCTGGGAACAGGAATGTAGAATTACCTCCCTCAGAAGGTGTCATGAGGATTACATGTGATAATGGACGTAGGAGTTCTTAGAACACTGCCCTGCGTAGGCACTCTAAGGTATTTGTTAAATAAAATAAAGAAATTGCCCATGGGGGTGGGATTTCTCAGACAAAGAGGTAAGAGAGATGAAGGGCTCCGGGGGTGGGGAACAGGATACTGGACCCAGGTGCCGATCTGATAACTGTCTCTGTGGCTTTGGGGAAATCATGTAGGGCCTATTGTGTAAAATGTGCCCAGTTCTCTCTTCGTACACAGTGATGTGCCAGCATAAGAAGAGAGAGGGAGGAAATATGAAAGTGTGGACTTGGGGACATTTGGGTCATGGGATCTTTTATTAGGGTTCTCTAGAGGAACAGAAGTAACAGGATATATGTATATATGAAAGGAGAACTTTCATATAAGGAGAACTGACTCACATGATCACAGGATGAAGACCCAGATGGGCCGTCTGCAAGTTGAGGAGCAAGGAAGACAGTAGTGGCTCAGTTAGAGTTCTAAAACCTCAAAAGTAGGAAAGTTTGACAGTGTAGCCTTTAGTCTATGGCCAAAGGCCCGAGAGCCCCGGGCAAACCACTGGTCTAAGTCCAAGACTCCAAAAGCCAAAGAACTTGGGATCTGATTTTCCAGGACAGGAAGGATCCAGCATAGGAGAAAGATGAAGTCTGGAAAAGTCAGCAGGTCTACTTCTGTCGCCTTCTTCTGCTGGTTTTTTCTAGTTGCACTGGCAGCTGATGGGATGGTGTCCACCCGCATTGTGGTTGGGTCTGCTTTTCCCAGTCTGCTGACTCAAATGTGAATCTTTTCTGGCAACACCTAGAAACACCCAGATATACCCAGAAACAATACTTTGCATCCTTCAGTTCAATCAGGTTGACACTTTATATTAACCATCACAAGTCCCTGTGGGTCAGAATTCTCTGGTCCCTTCCTGTGTTCACCCCTACTGGATCAGGAAAACTCATTCCTGGGTCTGGGGACAAAGGAAAAGTAGCTAGTTTTGTTTGTCCTCAGCCATCTAGCTACATGGACCACCCCTCT